GGTCGATTTATATGGATATATATTGCATTCATTCGAGTATCAAACGAGTGGAGAAATGTTGAATGAGTTTTGTTTTCTCGGTGTAATGTTGCCCGTGCCGAACTTGATGTTATCATGCCAGGCATGGCGCCAACTGTTATTTAGAGATTTTCCGGCGTATGTGCTAACTAGATTGAGGTTAATAAATATGGTGGTAAAATTAAAATAGTTCTATAAAACTTGACAACATGGAGTAAATGAAGTAAATAAATAGATACAGTATTGTCATAGATAGAATAAAGCAACATTTGTATTCTCAATGCTTAAATGCTTATGTGTCGGGTAACTAATAGAGGATACAGTGTAAGCACTGTGTTATACTGATTACCACTATAAACCTCAATGGTTTCAGAGGGCGAATATTTCACCACTAGAAATCTACATACATATAAAACCTTTCACGTTATTATTTTCTAGCATTTTGTGAGTTCGCAGAACGGTAATGTCTTCCACTATTTTTAATTGGTCTGAACGAGAATGACACTGCCCTACATTGCAACCAGATAAACCAGTGGATTAAATGTAAGTATACTTACGTAAGACGGCGACGTGAAAAAGATTCTCTTGTGTGGAGGTATCGAGTGTCTCCTCGCCCCAAAGCGTTGTGGATAAGATAAACTGGTTGCCATGGAAACGGCACAACAGAAGAAGAAAGTAGTCGTCAACTGCGTCATTGCTTGTTAGATGAATACCATGTAAGTGCGATATCTTGGAATTCCTGTGATAAAATTATGAATTGATAATAGGGTTGAATATTATGTCAGTTACCATGGCAAATCAATTTCCATCTCCATAAGTATACTATATGCAATGTGGGTTTAAAATGAATGAGATGCACAGAAAGATCCTTCCGCGTCTCAACAAATCAAGAAATTGTTTTGGTACCGTGTTGCTATGGATATACTATTTCCTGCTGTCTCTATGGTTATCCGAGTCCACCACCGGGTCAAGCGACATGGAGTTTCCATCCATCGCCATGAAATTTCCTGCCAGTGAACCCTCATAAACTAGCTTTAAGTTTGGTCACAGAAAAACTTCAAGTTCGAGAACAATGCCATTTTGTTGAAAAGTATGTAAAGTAAGTGTATTTCAGTCAGAATGTGAATACAACTTGAAATATAATGATGATTACATAAAGGATCTTTTCAAACAAATAATGTACTAAACTTAGTATGGAAAAATGATATATTTCTGGTGGAATGTCTTTTTATCATGCGTTTTATGGAATCTGGATTGGAATATGCTTAAGAGCGACATGAATGTCTACTGTTTGTATGGTGCTGAAGTCAATCTACAATTCCTGACATTCTCAAATAATGATACGATTCATTTTGATCGTAATTATTCAACTTGTTGAAACTTGATCCGATAATATTATTTCGCCTGTAATAAACTTCCAATTTTGGTTCATTTTCTACGAAAAAAAGTCCAGAAATCAGTATATTAGGATTATTATTATTGTTTCAAAAAGTTTAAAGTCCCCTCTCCGTAGAGATTACCCCTCTCCCACCATCAGTACAGCCAATACGTGTTAGTGTTATCAAGACGTGAACAGAGATAATATCTCAGAACCCCCACCCCACTCCAGACGTTATGGACCCATGCATACCGTATTTTTCGAACAGGTGGTTTCCAGTTTTTAAACACTATATTGTTATGTTATTTAGACTCAACTTCTCGTTTAGAATCATCATTTGTCGAAACGAAACGGCAATGATACGCTTCGGTTACACATGCTGAGATATACGTGTAACCAAACGAAAACATGTGACAATTCAATTTCCCATGAATACAACCGTATACAATTTCCTTTCATTTCATTTCCGGTTAGACAACAAAATGTAGTGTTATATAGTGGAAATACAAGTAGCATGTTGTGAAGCCATCTAGTTAGTATAGAGAGCAAATCATTAAACATCGCATTCATTAATCGTAATCGACACTTTAACTTCGTTTTCTTCTACGTCCGTTCAGTTTTGTTGACCAGACGTATAACATAGTGAATCACATGCAGACGCCAAAAAAAAAAAAATACTTCATCCGAAAACGCATAACGACTTTATATACGTTGTATTTTCAAAAGTTTGTTTGGAAATTAAGACGCTGATAACCCAAACAATGACAAAACAGAAAAAAAGTTGAAATATCCGCAAGCTCAACAAATACAGCAGTATATTGGGAGAAAACAAAGGACACAATGGAAGAGAGGATATGACAGGAACATGACGAAGAACTAAAAAATACCAATGACTGTCGAAAAATACTTCGGTTGAAATTATCGAAGACCACCGAACATAGTCAATTCTTACCTTGTTGAACTGGATGGATGTAACGTGCAGTGTGGTTGAGGTAGAAATGACAAAACTGTCAAAACTACCCGACTATTTATACAACGAACCAATGATCTTGTCCAACCAAAGAAGACGACCGACGTCACACCGTGAACACGGTGTCTAGAGCGAGGTTAGCCGTCGGCACCCTATCAGAATACAACCAAATTAGACAGTATTTACAACCATGTCTGGTGGACAAATTATATCAATTATGTTGAAGCGCGGCTTCCGATAAATACGATGGATGAAAAATAAAGTGAAAAACAAGCTGTATACATTTTTATTTAGCCTGATTTTTTCTAAAAACTTGTGGATTTCTTTGAACGTAATTGATGATAATGTATTTATTAACATAATTTTATGATTATAAATGTTTATAAATATGCTACTATCCCCCAAATCCAGCAAGTACAGCCCACTCGGCATCTCCAATAGTACCCCATACTTCAATGCCTACTTTCTAATGGCGAAAAACTAAGTAAAGGCATTTTTTCCATTTTTTTACCACCTCCTTTCCCAAAGTTTCTCATGGTCACCCCCTTACGCGAATTGGGTTGTGGGCAGGGGCATATTCATCGGAAAATGTATAGTGCATACACGCATCCAAGTCTAACTACTTTTTAATAACTCAAGATGAATGACCATTCAACCCAGACTGGGAAGACGCGATGATTTGCATATGATTTGCATAATCAGATCAGTGACTCATCCCTTGTTCTTGCCGATTGTAACGATCATCTCTACCGCATAACGGAATTAGGGCAAGATAACACTGCCGTCTGCTGGAATTGAATAGACGCGTCGGGTACTTTTGAAACCCAGTTCCGACAATAAAATTGAGTTTATTCATTTATAGCTCAGCGGTAATGTGTGTTTTCAATGCGGCCAATAACCTTAATAGTGCATCCAGTTTGTAGCCAAGACGGATTGATATCGTGTTACGCATACACACGCCTAGCAATGAGACTAGCCAGACAGTGTCGGTATCATTCCGTTAACTTACGTCACAGATGAAATTAGCATTCATACAGGTTGTGCCTATTGCACGGTGATTACCGCGCGGTTAGAACACTTGTGTACGTGCTATTTAACAGGGACTTACACATGGAAGCCGATGTACAAATAAGGTTATATGACGTCACACTACGTGTTCAAACTGCCTGCGGTATATCTTCTGTACAGAAATATGCTCAACAAATTTCACAATTGTTATTATCTGCAAAATTGTATGTGCTCGTCTTTGTTTAGGATCGATTTAACACAATTTCATATTTCAGGCGAGAAAAAAATATGTAATAAACTTATCCAACGATTCCAAAGTGGCGCGCATTTTCGTCTCTATCCAGTGATTGTATTAAGACGATAATTCGAATCATTTGTGTTATTTGACTGAAAAGGTGTGATCATGGCGCGGCATTTTTTATCACGTTTAATTGGTTTAAACGAATACCCTCTAACGTTCTTAGCATTAAGTCGTGTTTTGCTACGCAAAGTAATGACGTCACTGTGAAAGTGCGCGCAATCCACAGCATCCTGTATGCTCAACGAAAAAGCCTTACGAATGTGTCGCCATAAGACAGCCAAAATGCCAAAAACGATACCCCTTTTCAAACTATGATTCTTTATGACATGAGTGAAGAATTACACCAGTTAACGATGTTGACATGACATGAACGATTAGTTTAGGCACTTTTTAGTTTTATATTATAAGTTCAGTAATAAATTCTAAAATTGTAGACCTCCTCCAGACACTTTTGTTCAAAAATACCGATTCCAAACATTTTAGCGCACATAAGTATACAGCTTACCAATAGAATTACACCACCGCACACACTCCACCGGTGGTAAAACGCGGACACAGGTAAAATAGACGAGAGGTGGTTTTGACAGTCTTCCCGACATTTGTCAAGGTGAACTTGAAACGAGCGTAGTGGTGTTGAAAGATCTGGATAATTATGCATAACAGCCATGCAATTACACTAGATATATGACAATAACCAAGAGTTTAATATTGAACAAAACATGATCTATTGTTCTTAATTAAAATCGAAATCAATTCACATTCACAATTTCAATACTTTGCCTTTTTTGTACAGGTAATAATTTTTATCTTGGTCTGATTATTCACATTGTGACTTCCTCGCATATCCGCACGTTCACCATAATGCATGCGGCCTTCAACAGAAGGGCACATACCCCGATTCGATTATGCCTTCCACTCAAAAGAAAATAACCCTCGAACTACTTAAGCGATACATATATTACATTTGCCTTTTCTTCTGACTACATGTCAATGGTGTGTGGTATCTATGTGATATTTCGTCCTCAATAACTGCTTTCACAAAACCGTGATTTTATTGAAACAAATAACCTGATAAGGAATACTCAAACGTTGGCAATTACATATCCAAGGATGTGTTGACTGGATTTGTACCAACGTGCGCGCGATAAATAAATGAAATCGCGTAACCTAACCTCATCCCACATTGCAACACCATGACATGAGTTTCCACTGTTTGTAACACGGGACACGAGCAAAAATACTTCTATTTTGGCGCCGTAAGAACATTTCCCAAGGGCACCATTTATAAACCACTTATTTAAAACAATCTAATAACAGATAAAACCGCAGATTTACACACGGGAAGGGAGCAATTTATATCTGCTCCACGTACACTCAAAACGTGCATGTAGATACATTACTTGTACGATTTGATTGGTCGGATCGGATCAAATGGTTCGAACACGTGATGTTATCGTCGAGCGATACATTTAGGATATTTTCACCTTCGGGGTTCACCTCCATACCTGGGACGTCTATACTCAATCAGGGATATGTCTATCACTGGATTCGATCAACTGCGTATACGGTTAACGGTAGCCAGTTGTTTTGACTGAAATAACCAGAAATAAACATTGTAAATGACATAGTCCCCTTCAATTATGTTGATGATAAAGCTTGGTGTTTGAGACGGTATCGTTGATCCAGAGCGCTAGGAAACACAAAAACAAAAAAAATGATCGCAAGTCGGCGATTTGGATCAAATCTCGAAAAAATAAAAACATGCATTTGTAATCCAATATCATCGTACTATCATACCAAATTTCATTGCAATATCTCTAACCACCTCCAAGAACTAGTTTTAGACATTTAACCATTTTTTTTTACAAAAATGGCCGTTACCTCGGTGCTTGTGTATATTGTGGTTTAAAACCAATCAAATCTCGCAACCGAATATGTATTGTCCTCATAGCAAGTGTGACTGGAGTCGTCACAACCATCTGGTTGCAGACACGTTCCAGTAGAAGGTTTTAGCTTTATTTTATGCCGAAATGGCCGCCAGTCAGTCAAATTTCATCGAATAAAAATTGACGTGCATATGTATATCTTGTCTTTGTATTACGTTTTAAAGAAATCGGTCAATAGAATGTCCGCGAAACAGCTCCGGGCAGATGGATGGACAGATCCCGAATTAATATTTCCCAGGACGTTGAACCAATGCACCAGGACATTAAACTAAAGCAACAAAATGACACTGGACCAAGACACCAGAAAGACATTGAACGAAAGCACCAGAAAGACACTGAACCAAAGCACCAGGACATTGAACCAAAGCACCAAAATGACAATTGGACCAAGACACCAGAAAGACATTGAACGAAAGCACCAGAAAGACACTGAACCAAAGCACCAGGATATTGAACCAAGGCACCAAAATGACAATTGGACCAAGACACCAGAAAGACATTGAACGAAAGCACCAGAAAGACACTGAACCAAAGCACCAGGACACTGAACCAAAGCACCAAAATGACACTTGGACCAAGACACCAGAAAGACATTGAACGAAAGCACCAGAAAGACACTGAACCAAAGCACCAGGACATTGAACCAAAGCACCAAAATGACACTTGGACCAAGACACCAGAAAGACATTGAACCAAAGCACCAGGACATTGAACCAAAGCACCAGGACATTAAACCAAAGCACAAGGACACTGAACCAAAGCACCAAAATGACACTGGACCAAAACACCAGAAGCGTATTGAACCAAAGCACAAAAAGAGGACATTGAACCAAAACACCAGAAGGATATTAAACCAAAGAACCAGGACATTGAACCAAATGACATCAGACCAAGGCTACAGAAAGGCATTGAACCACAGAACTAGAAAGTATGTTGAGCCAAAACAAAGCAGGACATTGAACTATATCATTGAAGTTTCTTTGTTTAGATGTAATTCCTCCGTTAGCAAAATATTTTATTGGATTCCTCTCAGACAAAATAGAACAGTGGAATGGAACAATATTACGTTCTGGAAGCATCTCAGAGTGTCAGTCACATAAACTATTTAATGAGGTATGTAATGGCAATCTTGAGCTTCAACCTGAGCTTGCTCAGAGTCAACCTGAGCTCCACCCTGAGCTTCAACTTGAGCTCAACTTGA